ATGGCAATGGCAGCTAATGGCCGAAATCAGAAGTAACAACCGAGACGCTGAGTGTCTGCCATTGAGAAAGCCGTCATTAAGGGCGGGAGTAGCTACTTCTGTTTTGTGCCCATTGCGGTCCTTCAGACCCAGTAGCTCCACGCCATTTATTCGGGTCCCACGTATTTTATCGCGCCCGGAACTATCACCCTGGTACGAGTGCCGTCGTCTGAGGGTAAGGGCTGTCTAATCTCGATTGAACCAGCCTCATGTCGAGTTGCTTCCTGCATAGCTTCTTCTTCCGTATCGAAAACGGAGAGAATTTGGTAATCCTTGCACACCATGAACTTTCCAAGCATTTCTTCTGGCGGTGTCAGGTAATTTGGATCTGCTGTTCTTTGAACATGTTCAATAAATTTTTTGATCTCTTCATCGTCCATGCCCGCTCCTCCGATGGGTGTTTAAGGCTGCGAGAGAATTCAAGAGGATAACAGGATCTGAAGGACACGGAGGTAGCCTTGCATCTATGTCCCAGCCTGAAATCTATACCATCGAATGACCGCAGTTGGCCGGGTAGAGCCTGTTGCAGGCGTAATATGAGCGTCCGCTATAGAGAAACGCTAACCAATGTTGAACTCGTATCTCAAAATGGTTGTTAGCCGACGGTCGCGAGCAAACCGAAAATCGGAAGAAACAAGCCCGTAACAGACACTCGCCTAGTAGCGCAGTAGACTTCAACACTGTTAACTTGTACTAAAAGTTTGTTATGACAGAAGCTGAGCTAATGGAGAATGCACTTCCAGCGTGGTCAAACTTCACCACCGCATTTGGACCATTCGAAAGGTTGATCCCATACATTGACAAGGGGTCTACATTGACGGGATTAGAAATAGCCGAATTGCCGGGGAAGCTTGGTGATTTCCTGGGGGCGATCGCCGTTTTCGGGACGATCATACCTAACCGTAAGGACGTTATATTGAAGACAACATGTCCGGCATTTGCGATCGGTTTTGCAGCTTCTAAGGTTCATTGATGTCTCCCTTTGAGTACGTTGTCGGAATTCACTCTATTGTACTTGGACTTGCTGCCGCCAACGTCCTGTCGGCCATTGCAGAGTCGGTTAAACATCGCAAACGAATCCAGCACTACTGGGTTTATCACGCTTGGTGCGTCTACTTTCTATTTAACCTTGCAGCTATCTGGTTTTATATATGGCAAGTCGAGTGTGGTATCGAAAGCCGCTCGATATTCGAGTTTTCGCTGACGTTCCAGTGGACCATATTTATATACATTGCGAGCCGATTGTTAACACCTGACATGCAGGATGAGTTGGCAGCTCAACGAAAAGACTATTTTTTTTCGATCAAGACGCCTTTCTTCGTTTGTATGGCAGCTCCCTTCTGCCTTTATTCCTTGGGGTCATACGTCTCTACAGGAACACTGATGGAACCGATCCTTCTGGTATCAGTGTTGCTTATTTTGGCCACTTATGTCGCTGGCATGTTTTCGGACAATTCAAGAATTCAGATAGCCGTTCTCTTGCTGATCATTGGTGTTCACACCCTGCAGGAAGCCTATCAGCCTGGAATTATGAACGCTGTATGCGGTTAGATTCGACCGAGCCACTCGGCGCTGTGTTTCTGAAAGGCCGTCATTCAGGGCGGAGTAGTTACTTCTGTTTTGTGCCCCAAGCAGCTTTTCATAGTGACGTTGTTTGCGCCTGCCGTTTGTGAGTATCCTACGACCTGATCGCATAAATTTCTGGAGGGACGGCTATCATGGCAAACAAACCAGCCACCACTGACGAGCCCACTGTGTTTTCCGGCGTGCCGCAATACGAGAATTTCGCTCGCGTGCAGCACACAAGCCCGGTTTCATTGTTATCACCTTCAGAGAAACCTTTCGATTTTCCGGATGGTTCACGAATTTCTCTGCCAACAACATACGAGTTCGAAGGTGACGTAAGAAATGTCCATGCGTTGCTAGGGGCGACTCACACCTCGGCATTACTCGTGCTCAAGCAAGGAAGTGTCCGATTCGAGGAATATTGGCTAACTGGCGGACGAGATGTCCAGTGGATATCCATGTCGGTAGCAAAGAGCTTTGTTTCGGCGCTTGTCGGCATCGCACTGTCCGAAGGTGCAATACGCAGTCTCGAAGACCCGATCCATCAGTATGTCGCAAGCCTTGCTGGAAGCGCGTACGACGGCGTGCGAATCAAAGATGTTCTGCAGATGTCTTCCGGTGTGCGATGGAATGAGGACTACAGTGACCACGGTTCGGAAATATACCAATTGACTGCAGCGGTGGGCCCCGGAGGATCAGTTGATACATTTATGACGACATTGCAGCGGGAGTCTGAACCGGGCACCCGATGCGTTTATAACTCGGCAGATACGCAAGCGCTTGGCATGCTGGTGGCTGACGCGACTGGCCGTTCTCTAACCGATTACATGCAAGAGAAAATTTATTCCCCATTGGGAATGGAGTCCCGTGGCTACTGGTTAACGGACAGCGTTGGTAGAGAATTGGCCTATGTCGGACTACTCATGACAGCACGGGATTTCGCAAAACTTGGAGAGCTCTATCGAAATGGCGGGGTTTGGCAGGATCAACAAATCGTGCCTCACGAGTATGTCAGCGCGTCGATTCGAGTAGACGGCGATCATGTGCAACCCGGTGGCCCGATTGTAGGCGACCATTCATTTGATCTTGGTTACGGGTATCAATGGTGGTTACCAGCGGGAGACCGGGGCGACTATAGTGCGATAGGCGTCTATAACCAGTACATCTATGTTGATCCAATGCGAGACACTGTGATTGTGAAGCTTTCGGCCAACCCAGCTTATGGCACAACAACTAGAGAATCAGACAACAAGGACCTGGAGAACATCGCTGTCCTCCAAGCGATCAGTCAACATATCGAACCTTGATTAGTCGTTGGGCTGACCAACAGTTTCAGTAAGCGTTTCAAGTTCCTTGGCTAGAAGATCGAAGACAACTCGGATACGACGGCTGCTACGCAACTCTCGATGAGAAACGAGCCAAACCGGGATCTCCGGGTTGAAGAGCTCTGGTAGCACGCACACCAGATCATCAAAGATCTCACCAGTATCCGTAGGCAGAAAACCGAATCCGAGGCCCTCGCGGATAAGCTGAAGCATACAGTTGCCGCTGGCGGCCTGAACACGAAACTGTTCGAGACGAAGCACCAGCCCCTGCTCCGCCACCCCCGCGATCAGCGCATCGGTGTTATCGATACCAACAAAATCCTGACCGGTGAGATCATCAAAGCTGCGCGGTATGCCAACTTCGTCGAGTAACCGGCGAGCAGCGTAGATGCGGCCTCTGAGGCGTCCAACCCGACGGGCGATAAGATCGGGCTGAGTCGGCTGACTATGGCGTATCGCGATATCAGCCTCACGCCGGATGAGGTCGCGAACCTGGTCCGAAGCGATCACCTCAACCACAATACCAGGCGCTTGCTCGCGCAGTTTTCGCAGCATCGACGGCAGAAAGTAAGTCGCCAGCATTTCGGTTGCGGTGATGCACACTCGCCCTTCGATGGCGTGAGACTGCCCGGATGCTGCCAGCGAGACACGATTAGCGGCCTCGGCCATGGCACGCACGTGCTCAAGGAGTTCCAGTCCAGCCGTAGTCAACTGCAGCCTGCGATGACCGCGCTCGAATAGCGTCACGCCCAGTGATTGCTCAAGTCCCGTCACCTGGCGGCTTAAGGTCGGCTGCGTATGTTGCAGAGCGCGAGCCGCAGCGGAAAGTGATCCTTCTTCCGCAGCAGCGAGGAACGCCCGGACCTGATTCCAATCAAATGCAATATCACGCCAGTTCATCTATTTGCGTATGCCATATCATCAAAAATAGGCATTCTATGCGCGATCTGCGCATGGTCAAATGACTGAACTAACACGCTGCAGCAACCGAGGTAACCATCGTGACAGTCACTTCCCCCGAGTTCTGGGACCGAGTCGCTCCCAGTTACAGCAAGCAACCCATCGCCGACGCAGAGAGCTACGCACGCAAGCTCGCCGCCACTCAGGCGCTCATGCGTGCAGACATGCAGGTACTGGAGTTCGGTTGCGGGACTGGATCGACAGCACTCAAGCACGCGCCACATGTTGCACATATCGTGGCAACCGATGTATCCGCTGCGATGATCGGCATCGGCCGCGAAAAGGCAACGGATGCGGGCGTCGACAACGTCACCTTCAGACAGGCCGGAGTGGAGGACTTCGAAGCGCCGGACGGCAGCTACGACATGGTGCTGGCGCTCAACCTGCTGCACCTCTTACCTGATCAAACGGCGGCGCTGGCCAAGATCCATCGGTTGCTCAAACCCGGGGGCATCTTTGTATCAAGCACTGTCTGCCTCGCTGACCGGATGTGGTTGCTTCGACCGGTCATTCCGGTGCTGCAATGGCTCGGGAAAGCCCCCTACGTGAGCTTCCTGCAATCGAACCAGGTATTGCGCGAGGTGGCAGCAGCTGGCTTTGAAGCACAGGAGCACTGGACACATGGACGTACGAGCAGCTTGTTTCTGGTCACCAGCAAGGTCTGAGTAGTGGACTGAATCCGTCGAACCAATTCAGACCTGCAGCATCGGAGGCGCGGAATCGATGCGATCTGTCAGCTGCTGATTAAGATTAGACCTAGCCGGCTAGAAGCCGATTGTCTGCTATTGAGCAAGCTGACGCTCAGGACTGAAATAGCTACTTCTGCGTTGTGCCCACTGCCGACCTTCGTCAATACTAAGAACTGCGGTATCCTAATCTTTCACGGGGCAGGAGCGATGAATGACTTGGGATGCAATAGGAGCATTGGCAGAACTATTCGGGGCTTTCGCTGTATTTGTTACGGTTGCATTCCTTGCTGTACAAATGCGACAAAACACTAGGGCATTGAGGTCTGAAAGCATGACCACTGCGTCTGCAGCCATTCAGAGTTGGTACCAACAAGTAGGTCACAATCCACAAGCCACGGAAATATGGTTAAAGGGCCAGAGATCACCAGATGAGTGCTCTCAAATTGAATACGGTCAGTTCATTGCCCTGATGCAATCTTTCTTGATTTGTCAGCAAGCGACCTTTCGATTGGGATTACACGGTGCAGTAGATGCCGACATTCGGGAGTCGTTGAATACAAATCTGCTTAATCTCAAGGATAATCCTGGTTTTAAGCGTTTTTGGAAAGAACGATCTGATCAATTTGATTCGCCTTTTCGACTTTTTGTAGAGGAAGCCATGGCGTCGGGCATCCCATCGGGCGGGTCGAGTTTATATACGTGGGAAAACCAGAAAGACTGAAAAGACCGGGCTTGGCCGTTGTTGCTCTAATTGAGTTGAAATCGCCAATTGAGTTGAAATCGCCTAATGGCAGGAAATTCGCAAACTTGCCGTCGACTGGATTTCATGGATTAGGCTCGGAAGACCCACAACAGACTGACGAGGAGCTTAGGTGTCAACCCCGTACCCTCTTAGAATTGAGCCCCTTTCAGCCGTATTAACCAGCACATCCACAAATTCTGTGAAATCAGCTTCATACAAATGGCGCCTTGATTCCCACAGCAGCTGACCAGAGGCGCTCGAGAAGTGAAGCCCCATATTTGCAACTAAAGGCTTCAGTTTGGCCTCATCGAGAAGGCCGAGTTCAAATTGATGGTGGGCAGACTCTACCGACCTGAGAAGAATGAGCATCCAGCTGTTGTATCGAAGCGTCTCAATCTCGCTTAACTCTCCGTTTGCTACACCCCTTTGGATGATCTCAATCAGTTCGGCGTTTCCCACCATTTGAAGCACAGCCTCATTTAAGCCGGTAGCGATGGAATCAAATGTCTGCCCTCGCACTGCTCGAGAATTTTCTCGAACCTGTATTCCTACATAGAAAAGTGATGCCACAACTGCAATTGCTCCAGCTAACTCAGCAAATGCCCCTACCGCATCCCAATTCATATTCATGTACGTATCTCCCCTGTCGCTCAACATTGAGTTAGACAGAAGTATGCAGAGAGTTCGACTTGCCTGCATCAAATCTTAATGAACGCAGTTGGCCGATTTGCACCATCTTAAAGCTGGCAGATAACGGCCGCTTTAGAACGAGCGCTTTCAAAACTTTAACTTGAGCAACCAAAACAGCAGGGGAACGATCCCACAATCACTGATTTACAACCATCGAAGCACGTATAATAATGTTTCCCATTATTTACTTGGTTGAGATCAGGATAGATTTATGTCGCAGAACAAACCTCTCAAATTCAAAGGTGTGCCGGGATCACCCTACACCCGGAAAATGCTGGCCTACCTGCGCTTTCGCCACATCCCCTATGAGCTGCTGATTGGTGATCAGAGCGCAGCGCTGGGTCTCCCGGAAGCAAAGGTTGGGCTGCTGCCAACCTTTTACCTGCCCAACGCCAACGGGGAGTTGCAGGCGGTGGTCGACTCAACGCCTTTAATCCGGCGCTTCGAGACTGAATATAGCGGTCGTGCCGCGCTGCCCACCAACCCTGTGTTGAACTTTCTGAATTACCTTATCGAAGACTATGCAGACGAATGGCTGACCAAGGCGATGTTCCACTACCGCTGGTATTACGATGCAGATATCGACATGGCAGGCACGATACTGCCGCATTGGAGCAACATTCAGGCACCCGCTGAGGCGCTGAATAAGCTCAAAAAGTATATCTCCGAGCGGCAGATCTCGCGCCTCTACGTAGTGGGTTCTAACGACACCACAGCACCGGTCATTGAAGCTAGCTACAAACGCTTTCTCGGCATTCTGGATGCCTTGATCGAGAAGCAGAAGTTTGTGTTAGGTGCTCGCCCTTCATCGGCGGATTTTGGTTTGTATGCACAACTGACTCAGTTAGCTAAGTTCGATCCTACACCTGCTGCAGAATGTCTGGCTTCTGCCCCCAGAGTATATGCGTGGACTGACCTGGTAGACGACCTGAGTGGTCAGCCCGCAACGGACGATGCTTGGATGCCTGTAAATGATGTATCTGCTGTATTGGGTGATCTGCTGGGTGAAATTGGCCGCACTTACGCACCCGCATTACTCGCCAACGCTGCAGCCATTCAGGCGGGGCAGGACCAGATGGAGACCACCATTGACGGACAGCCATGGACTCAACCCACTTTCCCCTACCAGGCTAAATGCCTGCAATGGATCAACGCCGAATACCAGCAGCTTGACTCTGCGGCACAATCCCAGATAGATGACATACTGGCTGGCTCTGGCTGCGATGCCATTATCTTTAAGGACATCGGATGAAAAAAATACTGATCGGAATAATCGTTCTCGCAGTACTCATCGGTGCTGCCGCGGCATTCGTCTTCAACACAGCCCCAGGACAGGATGCATTATTCAAGCGCGCAGCCACCGCGGCTATGAGCCAGGCTGCGGACAAGTTCGACGGCATGCGGGTTGTCGTGTGTGGCAGTGCCTCACCTCTGGGTAACGACCCCAACCGGGCACAGGCCTGTATTGCTGTTGTCACACCAGAACATCTCTTTCTGTTTGACGTTGGCGCGCGTTCACCAACACGCATTGCACAAGCACGCTTGCCGCTGGGCCGAATAACCGGGGTCTTTCTCACGCATTATCATTCAGATCACATCGCTGCACTGCCCGATGTCAATTTGACATCGTGGGTGCAGGCGCGACCTGGACCACTACAAGTCTACGGCCCAACCGGTGTCGAAACTGTTGTAGCTGGGTTCAACACAGCTTATGAACTGGACCGCAGCTACCGCACTGCGCATCACGGCAGCGACATGCTGGCGCCGGAGCGCGGATTTATGCAGGCCAATACAATCGCTACCGATGGCGTGGTGTGGCAGGACGATAAGCTGACCATCACTTCATTTACCGTCGAACATCCGCCCATTGAGCCAGCGGTTGGCTATCGTGTGGACTACCGCGGACGGTCTGTGGTGATCTCTGGTGATACCAATGCAGCAGACACGCTCTTTACCGCAGCCAAAGATGCAGATCTGCTGTTTCACGATGCGCTGTCACGCACCCTGCTGGACCCAATGATCGAAGTCGCAACCGAAGTTGGTGTACCGCGCATGCCCACCATCATGCACGACGTTATTGAATACCACGCTGACGCCACCACTCTGCCAATGCGATCAGCCGCAGCAGGCATCAAACAACTGGTGTTCTATCACATGGTACCGGCTCCCATGAATGCGCTGGCAGCCAACATGTTCCTGCGGGATCTACCCGATAGCATTATCCTCGCTAACGACTTACATACCTTCGATCTGCCACCGGATTCCACCGATATCATCATTCATGAACCTTAAGACCAGAATTCGTTCTGTCTTCGCAACGCACTTTGCTTCCGCAGAGTACCTCGAGAAACAGCGCACCAAAGCGCGCAAGCGCCGTGAGAAACAGGGCAATCCACCGACCGTACACTACTTTCACCAGGTGGATGATCCGTACAGTCACCTGGCGGTGCAGAAACTGGACCTGCTGAAAGCGCGATATGAGCTCAAGTTCCAACCTTACCTGGTATCAAAGCCCGAAGCCGTCTACCAGGGTAGTTCAGCACACTTTGACAAGTGGGCACTGCGCGATGCATTGAGTGTCGCGACAGACTACGGCACGGTCTTCTCGCCCACACTCGACACACCTTATGCCGACGCGGTGGTTATCGCCAACCAGGTCCTCGCTGCCCATCTCGATCATGACGACTTTGCCCAGATTGCGTTAGACGTAGGTACCGCGTTATGGAAAGCAGCGCCAATCGGCACAACTGACAACTCAAGCCTCTCTGAAAATCAGGGTGAAAGTGCCGTCAGCGAAGGGAACAAAAAACGCCGTGCACTTGGCCACTACCAGGGTGCGATGTTCTATTTTGACGGCGAGTGGTTCTGGGGTATCGATCGCATCCGCTCGTTAGAGGCACGTCTCGCGCAGGAAGGGTTCGACCGACAATCCGGTCCACCAAGCGTGCCTGAACCCAAACCTGATACCATCCAGGGCAAAAATCCGGATGGTATTCTGCTCGAATACTTCCCTTCCCTGCGCAGCCCCTACACCGCTATCGGTCACCAACGCGTGCTGGACCTTGTCAAAATCAGCGGTGTCAGCGTAAAAGTGCGCCCGGTCATACCTATGATGATGCGCGGTATACCCGCGCCGCGAGCCAAGCAGCGTTACATCATTACCGATGCCGCGCGTGAAGGCCGCGAGCATGGCGTGCCTTTAGGGCGTATCGTCGACCCTCTCGGAGAACCGGTAAGACGCGCATTCGCGCTGTTCCCGGCAGCCAATGCCGTCGGACGGGGTATGGAGTTTGTGACCGCATATCTCAATGCCGCCTGGCTCGAAGGCATCGACATAACTACCGAACAAGGCCTCAAACAGGTGACCAGCAACGCCGGTTTGGATTGGCAGGAACTGTCGCAACCCTCCAAAAGTGACGACTGGCAGGCTATATTAGACAGCAACTTACAGTTGTTAACCCGGGAGAATCTCTGGGGCGTACCGAGCTTCAGAGTATCGGGTGGCAACATAACGCAGCCCTACGCCTGCTGGGGCCAGGACCGC